TACTTGCATACTCGAATGAAAAGAAACACGAGTGTGTTAGGCTAACATGGTACCATGGTGATGATGACCCTAATGTAGTTCAGCCTTAACTGTGCATGAGATTTACATCTCGCAAGTAATTTTAAAATTGAATAAAAATCATTGAGGAAGACGATATTAAGAGTAATAAGGAAAAAAAAGATGTACAAGCTTCAAGTCTGAATCCATTTAGGTGCTGATTGTGTATGACTTGAACAGATTTTGTTCTGTATGTGGACCATGACTTTTCTGATGCCTATAGGTGGCTGAAATAAAACTGGAGCTAACAATTTGTCCTTTCTCTTAAAGGTACATCGAAATCACAAGCAGCTTCTCTGAAACAGAAGCTGATTAGGTATGAGCATAATTTTTCATTTATTTCTAGTTTTTACTGCTTTTTGATTCCTCTCTCTCATGTATTATCTTCTTAACTTGTATTCAGAAAGGCTAAAATTGTGGGCAACAAGAACAGATCTTCTCTTCCAAATGCAAAAGTTGACACTAAAGTCGTTGCTCGCATTAGTTCTACTAGATTAAATCCTGGTGTGGAATCTAGAGAAGCAGTGGGCAACAGTAATGGTTTGCCTTTGACTCATCCAAGTTCAGATGTTGGGGTAAGATCATTAAGCAATAATTGTAACTTGACTCCTCCACATTCCAATTTTGGTGCTAAATTAGTCGGCGATATCAGTGGTGCAATCTCTCAGAATTTGGACCACAATAATGGCTTGAGGCCTCCTCCAAGTACAAATTTTGGAGGAGGGGCATTTAGCAGCAATAACAGTCAGGTTCCTTCAAATTCAGATGTAGGTACAATGTTGGTGAGTAATATTAGTAGTTCTAGCCCTCAAAATCTTGTCCATAGTAGCAGTTCAACTCCAAATTCAAATATTGGCACAAGAGCATTAAGTACCCATCAGAGTCTTGACCATAGCAGTGGTTCAGCTCCAAGTCCAAATATTGGTACAAGAGAACTAAGCAGCCTTCAGAATCCTGGCCATAGTAGTGGTTTGACTCCAAGTTCAAATATTGGCACAAGAGCATTAAGTAATCCTCAGAATCTTGTCCATAGCGGTGGTTCCATTCCAAGTTCAGATATTGGCACAAGAGCATTAAGTAGCCCTCAAAATCTTGACCATACTAGTGGTTCGACTCCGAGTTCAGAAATTGGCACCACAGCATTAAGTAGCAATACCAACCTGTCTCTTTCAGATTTAAATATTGTTGAATTGGTAGGCGTTACTGGTGGCTCTGAACCTGGGCATTTTGGCACGAGTAATAGCTCTATTCCTGCACCAAGTTCAAATATTGGGACAACAGCATTAAACAGTAATAGCAGCCTGGTGCTTCCAGATTCATATATCTCTAGCTCTAACCCTCAAAATTATGCAGGGGAAATTTTATATAGCCATAACGATATCTCTACAGAAGAGAATATCTTTGATGATATTATAAATGAACTTCTTCCCCCTTCCGGTACGAACTCTGGTATTTGGCAGTTTACAGATAAACTGTAGAAGCTGAGATTATCATATCTTGGCTTGTTTATTTATGGTGAGTTTTAATTCGCCCTTTTTATGTGCTTAACTTTATACGTTGCTAATGAGCTTTCATGCTTATCATAAACCCATAAGGTCAATGTTTTCTTGGCCTTCAAGTTGTTGAATAAAATATCAACTTTAATTTTATCATTTTTGTCGGTTAAATTTAATTTCTTTGTTACTCAATCTGCCGTTATTGAAACTGATGTGTTGGCATTATTCAACAATTAAGTGTTAGCTACAAATTTATCCAAGTATGAAGAAAGCAATGAAATGGACATAGTTTTAGGAGACGAGAGTATAATCTTCAATTATCTTCCTGTTATGCATGGACCACTGATTTATTGACATCCTAATTATAAACCTTGTATTTCTTAGCTTCTGTGGTTTCATTTGTCCTCTTTAATTTGTCTCTTCCCTGATCCCAAGTTGTTTGCATTTGACAATGTTATCAGATCCTTCTTGAGAAATTATCTTGTATTTATTGGTGGATACTAGTAACTGAGTTTACTTGTTACTGGATTGTAGTTCTTACACAAGTTCCTTATGGTTTTCGCATTACAGCACATTGAATTTAAGCAAGTCATAAAAAGTGTTGCGAATGCATGTTAGATGCATCAGCTCTTTTATTATATGCTATTAGATCCTGCTTCCCCTGTGTGATAAATGATACTATAGTTGGAATTATTTTTGGGCATTCTTTATGTGGTGCAAAATTTGAGTTCAACATGCCTGTTTTACTTGTGCTTTTTTGTCACGCAGCATTGCAAGTATTGGCTGAATATCCAAAGTTGGAAAATGAATAGGGATCGTTTACAGGGATTTGAATTACCAGTCTGGTGTACAAACTGAAGCTGGGATTGGGAGTGAAGCCTGGAAGTACAGATCCGGGGATTGCAATAAATGCAGATCTTCGTTTCTCCATGCTCTACATGGTTGAGCGAAAAATATTTCATTACCAATAACCCAAAAAATGATAATATGATATCTTTATTTTGTGTTTCTTGTAAATATTCTTGGTTGAGAGTTGGAATGAAGGGTGTCATTTGAAAGAATATTAGAAACCAAAGGGTTTATGGAGGTGTAATTAAAATTTTGAAACCTCTCTCGAGTGCATGTTCCATGCGCTTGATAAAGCTTTAGGATTGGACGTAGTTAAGGAAGAATTATGCACAACATTTGCTAGTTGTCATGTTCAACGCTGTAAATTTTCTTGTTCCTAACACGATGAAAATGTCTCTTTTACTTCTAAGTGTGGTTTGAGTACATTGACAAGCAATGCCACCACAAAAAGAAAGTTTATACGTTACGTTAGATAATACTGGTAGAGGTTAACAAAGAAATACAAGTTCAAATTTTTTGTACGTATTGAATGCCAAATATTTTTACAAAATTAAGTGTGAGCCGTGCAATCGAAGTTCACAACTATGGAAACTCGTCATGAATATTATCAAAATTTTCTTGTTCGTGTATGGATTCTTTCAGTTGTAAAATCTGAAGCAATGAAATAATTTTTCATTATAACCAAAGAAATCGAAATATAATTCTGTAGTAAAAATGTCGTTATTATTCATAACTATTTTGAAAGCTGCTTGAAAGTCACATACAAACGTTAACTTGGACCATAAAACAGACAAGTATGAAGATAAAGTCAATGCCACAAACTTACTACATTAACATCACAAGCTATAGAGTTTCTAAGATTCAAACATAGTTATTGTGTCAATAATCACACACAATTTTCTTCCACGTTTCTTTCTTATGGTACAAAGATTATGGAATTCACCAGATTACCAACTTCATTAATGTAGATTTTTTTTTTAAATCAATGACGATCCTTGTTGCACGTATCTCCCAACCACTCTTCGAGTTTTGCTTCTTTATCTGCCTTGAACTCACGATATGTCTCTGATAATGAGATCAATTCTTGATGGGATGAACTTTTATCTAGTCGAGATTCTTCTTCGAGCTCATCAACTTCACTTGACAACGGCAAATATTCGGCCTCAGCCTCCGGCATTGATGAGGATGAGCCATCGACCACCTTTCCAAGTGTGGGATGAACACAGGACGAGAGCTTCTCACCCTGGGGAAGGCTTGATTCTTTAAACTCGACTTGAGTCCATTTGAAATTTCCAGCTCTTTGTTTCGCAGATCGAAAAACACTTGACAGATAACCACCCGTCCTCTCGTCCTCCATATTTGAATGAACTGCATTACGACCCCAGGTGGTCGGAGACCAAGAGCTGGTTCTATCAATACGAAAACCCGAGCTATTTAACAACCCTCTCTTTGGCTGTCTTTTTGACATGATCGCAAGAGATTTTTTGATCTCTTGACTCATCTCATCAGCAATTGGGAAGCCATATTCTTTCATCGACGTAACCATGGAAATAGAATCCTCTAAATCTTCTGTATGCAAAGTTACCTCATGGGATTTTTCAACAACTTTGTTCTGGAGATTAACAAGGTTGGGAACTGCATTCTGGGTGTGCTGTTGAACGTAATAAAGCCCAACAGAGGGTTCATTAGCCACAAATTTTATCATATCTGCCGATTCTTCAGCTATCTGCAGAAACCCGTCGACTGCGGAAAATTGGTGCATCTTCTTGAAGGGAATTGGTTCCTCATCACTGATGGATTTGCAGAAAACATACTCGAAATTGTGAGGAAGTACAAGAAAAGAAAAACATTCTTCAGATATAAGTTCAGGGAAATTCTCACAAAGCACTACAATTTAAATTGATAAAAAGTATTTGTGTAAACACTTGTAAACTTTTCAGCTGTTTGTGAAGATTAAAGTAGAAGTTCATGATTCTTATAACTAGAATTTTCTAAAGTCTGGTTTCAGGGAAAAAAAAAAAAGCTGCTAAAGTTTTGAGTACCATTTATAAGGTGACAGACACTAATTCAGCTTGAAAAGAACATGCACGTGTGCATTAGATATCAGAAAACGAGGCCGTGAAAAAGCAACAAAGCCCAAAACATAGCTTGATGGACGAGTTGCTTAATAGAGAGATATCCTGCACTGTTCTCGAGTATTTCATATAATAATCTACATCTTCATTCGATAGCATCAACTATCATGTCAAGCAAAATATGATGATATGAACATCGTGAAGAACAACATAAATGAGAACTAATCGAGGATGACATAGTGGATAATTTTGCTATCCAGAAGTAAAACCTAATTCCCTCCGTACAGTTCCTCCTTATTTGACATTTTGCTGTCAAGAAATAGTTAGGCTATGTTTGATAGCCTCTATTTTCCATGGAAAA